ACCAGCACCACCGTCCACTGCGTCCTAAGCTCAAAAGCAGGAAAGCTTCCTCAGCATCAAACTCGCAACGAGCCAGGCATTCTCCTGCTTTTGCTGTGGAAAGCAACGTGGCAACAACCGCCGTGATGCAGGCCTACAGCTGCTTTCGGTATGTACTGCAATGTTTTTGAGGAAGTTTTCCGTGCTTCACATACAGACTGTAAGGTTGAAAGATGCGGAGGGACCACATGCTCACTTGGTAGTGTTGCAGTGAGTTCATCAATCTGTCGCGGTGGTCATAACGTCATTCTCCCAAGCAGTCAATGAGTATAGTCAATGAGTGGCCTACCCGCTGACCATCTCACGACACGTCGCCAGAGAAGCTTGAGTCATGGTGGTTCAGCCGTGGTCAGCTTGTGTTCGACTTTTGACGCAGGCCCCTCCAGGGGCTACGGCTGCAGGCACAGGTGCATTTTTTTCTCAGCTTCGCCATCTCCCCATGCGGAATTTGACCGTTGCTTGCGAATTGCGTTCATAGGTGCCGCAGTGGAAGCACGGGGCCGGGAGGACCCCAAGCCCATGCAAGACGGACTTCGATGGCTTCGGGATGCTGCTTGCTGCAAGGAACACCCTTCGACGGCAGTGCCATCCACAGCGTCGAAAGCTTGGCAGCTGCGTGCAGAGGCCAAGATAGCATTGCCCCGCGCAGCTCGCGCAAGGCCATTGGCGACTGCACCGGTGGAAAGCACTGTCCAAAACGTCTCTGCCATGGAGGCCTTTTGAGACGTTGTTCGATGGTGTTGCAAGTAGCTGCAGGGCTCGAGGGCTGCCACTTGCGTTGGCACGGCAAAGCCATGTCGCCTAGGGTCTACCAAGAAGTCTTTGCATTCAAGCATCAAGCATGTCAGATTTCGGCTTCGCGTGTGATGACCCTTAGGCAAGCCTGCAGAGTTTGGTCACGGCCGAGTCACTGGGCAGATGCAAACCATGCAACTCCCCACGCGCTGGAAATGCACAGGCTAGACGCGCACCCAGCGAGGGTGCGGAGCCGG